TTAGAGAAAAATGAAAATATCTCTTTAATGAGTTTTTTCCGTCAACTGAATAAATTACCATGAGACTATTATTAAGTTTGATAAATTTGAATGAATTAAAATATAGTATTTTATTGTAAGCAAAAAATATGTTGTTTTAATTATTGAAGAACGACTTCAAGTCTCGCAAGTTAGCCGTGATGTTTGCGTATCTAATATAACTATTGATTTAATGAGTCTCTTACATTTTGTTAATTAAGTGCATATATTTGTAAAGGCGAACGGCTTAATTATTCTTTGTTGTTGCCCTAATAGCGAATACGATGATTAATTTGCACTGATATTCTTATCTCAAAAATCAAACAATAGTTAGGTACATACCAAAATGGTAGAAACAACAGATAAGTAGCATGTCAAATTTCTAACTAAAGCAAGATGTTATAACTCCGGTTACTAAAGGTTTAAAAGTGTGTATTTTGAATTATAACGGATTCAAGATTTTGAATAAAAGCACAAAGAGGGAAAACGAATCTTTCCTGAATTATCTATTATTTTGTTAAATCAATTTTCTGTACAGATACAAATTTTATTGCTTCATAATAAAGGCCAGAAGTTTGATTTATCTCTTTTACACAGCAAGTTCAAACATAAAATTCAGCGTGATATCATTGACCTGAACGATTTTCAAACTTGTTTCATAAGTTTTATTACAAAAATATCTTCTTTGCTTTGCTTTGATGCAAAAGGCTTCGCTAACATAAAACTGACTTATTTAAAGATTACAAATCAAGAATTGATCTTTCATGAAACTAACTTTATTTACAATGGAAACATAAAAATAAAATACTTTAAAAGGATATACAAATATAAGCAATGATGTTTAAAATATGCCTAAGTACAAAGAATATGACCAATCTTCCGTTGAATTCACATTTGCATTATTTTCAGATAAATTTCTCTTGGTCAGTCAAATATATTTCAAGTTTCACAAACTAAATTTTTTTCCCTCCATCGTTTAGAAACACAACACTGACTGTTTAAAAGTTTACAATTCACGAATGGATCTCAAATCATCTACAAAAGTACAGGAACTGTCTTTGCTTACAACCAAAAAGAATAAAAAGTAAATTGAAAAATGAATGCAAATATAAGTTAGAATATCTGAGCATAATAAAGTTAAAAAAGATGCTTTTGTATGTAAACGAAACATTACAAAAGAACTTCCGCCGTAGCAACCGTTTTATTATTGTCATATATATTTCGCTTTGTCATTCAAAAAAACCTTATTTTTTACAAAATGTGAATTGTTATAGTGCATTCGTCCCCATTGTACACTATCAAACATTTTGTAGTTTACTTTATCTCTGACAAAATATTGATTATCTCAAGAACAAAATCACAACACTTAACATATTACTTTGTTCTATATCATCTACCTGTTAATTACATACAGTCATGAGCATTCAATACGTGAATCTTGGTAAAGTGTTGTGCGTAGTAAACTGCATACAAATTCTATAAGATAAGGTATTTGATAAACGACAGCAGCAGTCAATGAACTTAACAAAAAAGCAGCTCAGCCTTTAATCGTGTTCTTTGCGAAAATTTATACACTAAATATTCAGAATGAACAAATCATCGGTCAACAAAAATGACCATAACTCGCGCCAATCTCACAGACATTTTGCTTGGATTACCGCTTTGGGATTTCATTACTATAAAGAAAAAACCATTCAAACTAATATATAAAAGGATTCGCAACGTAATCAGACAAAAGTTGTTTTAACAGTGGGCTCTCGAGGAAGTAGTGTTTTCACAAACAATTCTGCATTTCAGATACGGACATCACAAAGCGCTGGTCCACGCGTAAATCTTATGGTTAAGGTTCCAGCCTTATATTGCTGTAAAGAAGACCCTCCAAACTAAATATAAACGAATCAGCAACCTAATAACACAAATCGTCTTTCAACGATCGGCTAGACAAAATGCCGTTTTTACGAATATATATATATATATATATATATATATATATATATATATATATATATATATATATATATATACAGTCACATTCCTCCATTTACGGGGCATCGGTCTATTTGAGACCATACTTGTGGGGTTTATATTTAATGTGGGGCATACATAAGGCCTCGCAACTCTGGCATGTTTAAAACGATGTATGGGGGCGTAGGCTACCCTTCTAACATAGTGCCCGCAGGCCGGTTTTAGTAGTAAATGATATATGTCCCACAAATGTATATATTTTTAATGGGGTTTTATGTTATCGGTCAATATGTTTTCACCTATGGTAAAATTAAATATATAGTTGATATATATAACTTAGTACCCCTTAGTTCTGTTGTTTGGAAATGTCATTATATGCCTACATAGTGGCATATATAAAAACTGACTGCATGAAATAATGCCACTCAACTCGGTCTTATAAATAGGCCCCGTAAGTGAAGATATGTGTGAATATATATATATACACTTTATATACCGAAAAAAACATCAATCCACAAAACGATTATGCCAAGTGATAATGCATTTTGCTTGGATTAGGGCTACGGGCCTTTTATAGCTATTGTAAAAAAGGCCCTCCATACTAAAATAAACACGAATCCGCAACGGAATCAGTCAAATCGTGTCAAAAATTTTTAAAACTAATAATATAAGCGTTACATCTACATGTATTAATCATACTGTATTGTTCATACCTAAAAGCAACGATTCGTACAAAGTTTCAGTATTATTTCATGTTTATATTTGTTCATCTGAACAAATAAAACAACCGTTTAAACGTTTTCAATTATTTAACGAGAAATAACAAATATTGTAGAAGGCGAACTCCAAGAAACTTTTAAGATATACTAGGAATTTAATGGCGCCAAATTATTAGCAACATCGCAGTAAAAAGTTCATAGTAGTTCTGCTAATTAAAAGCGGAATAGATTTTCGTCTTAGTTCTAAACATATCCTGTGTTTAAACAATGTAACCTTATTAATATTTCGTTTGACTGACAACTATAAAAGATTACACGTTCAATTCATTTAAAAACAATAGATCTACAATAGAGGTAGATCTACAGGTCGATTTACGTCTATGTTAATATTTGAAAGTCCCAATCTCCTTACATTGGTGCACTTAGAGCACTTCTCTTAATTCCACATGTATATTTATACGCAGGTTCAATAAAGCTGTCTGCGTTGTTCCTATAATCCTTTCATTACATGCGTTGATCACTGTAAGTCACCAATATATGCTTTGAAATTTATAGGTCTTGAGTTCGGTATTGTCAGGCTTGAGATCAGTAACGTTTTCCATAGTGCTATATTAATATGTGGTGTTTATTTAACAATTGTAAACGCACACCGACAGGTGCAAATCTGCCAAAGTGGAGCCGTGATAAAATTGTTCAGTACTGCATTTCGGTGTTGTTTTTTTTTGTTTTGTTTTTTTCATTATTTTTTCTTTTTTTCTTTTGATAATTGATTTCAACACGTTAAGCTTTGATGATTCAATACCATAACGGTTTTTGAGATTGCTGCGCTGTCAACTCTCATGAATAGATTCTGTTGAACGGAGTCTGCCAACTGTTTCATTTATTATCTTGAAGGTATTTGATTTCCCCCAAAGAAATCATATGAAGAGATATGCAAGTACTACAAGTGGCGTTTTGTCGATATCATGATACAATCAGTTTGTTGTTGTTTCATAACTACTTTGACATGGGAATAAAATGACTCTAAAAATAAACAAACGTATAATTGACCTATTATGTCCAAAATTTTAAACGATTCTTGTTATTGTTATAATTGTTATATAAAAACCATAATGCAACGAATATAATGATATTTATGCTGGTAGGTTAAACATTGGCTCAATGAAACCGAGCCTGAAGCATCTTCACTTTGCACAAATTAAACTATTCCGTATGACATCTTTTGTATATGGGATATTTGTGAAATTGATTTTCTGTTTAATATATTTTGCTCTTTGACAACATTTAATCGCACAGAATTCGCGTAAGGAAATTTCTACATAGCTTTCAATTGGTAAACATAGATACTTTCAATGTAAAGAGAGAAGAATAAGTTATAATGCCTGGAAAATTAGATTAAACTATTTATGATCAGGTAATATTTAATTAATAAATAACTTACAATACTAAAATTGATTAATTTTATTTGTCCATATATATGTATTAGAACATTGCATGTCTAAACTATGATATTCTAAATATTTGTAACGTATATAAATAATAGAATAATAGCATGGATTACTGTTTTAATACAGTTTATAATTGATAACCAATCACGGGAGAAGCAGGGTTTTTCAAGATTTGTTTTAGATTTTAACCACTTAACGATTATTTACATATAAGCATTATAGATATACTATGCTCATCCTTGAGTAAAATATTTCAATCACATGAATTTATTGAAATCTATAAAATTCTAATTGGATATGTCCAATCTGAATAGAAGAATGAATAAACTAAGTAAAGGAAACTGCGGCCTCTTTTACAGGTCAATTTATGTTGGCCTTTTCTTTAAGTGCCGTCTTTTTTAATGACACTATATATTAATATTGTGACTACATAATGTGTAGAATTTTAAACAATACATATCTACTTCTTTATGTGATATCTACAAAGAGACACTGCTGCAATTATCTATATTTTATTATATCAAATTTGAGTATAGTATATTTTTATATGTGCGAAATGTTTCACGCCAATTTTACATTACATGATGTTCTATGACACAAATAACGTATTAAAAGATTTCAAAAATGCGCTTTTATTTGATCTGATGAAAGGCAAACTCCTGGACATAAAATATGTAATGGTTACAATATATATGTAGATTATAAAACTAAAAGTCACTATTATGTTATTTATACCCTGATACCACTTTTGATCTCCAGCAATGACGAACATTGTCAGTCCTATATCACAAAAGAAAAATAAATGGTGATACAGCTTGAGCCAGTCTGCTACGTGAAATTGTTCAGGAGAGTTGAATTAAACGATGTATTGTACTTGCTCGAGCGAGTTTATTAGATATTGGTTATTTTCTCATTGAACACTGACGGAATATCAGTTGATTGTCAGAAAGGGATAATGTTATAAGATACTTTGAAACATTACTGTAAGTAAATATAGTTTTAATGTTATTAACGGATTTTCCCTACCATTCAAGAACATTTTGATATGAATGTAGTTTTGAGTGTTTAAAATAATTGTAGCTATAAGAATAAAATTAATGAAAATTTAATATCCTTTTTTAATTGTGCATTACACCATTTGGAATTAAGTAAAAATTTTCTGGTAATACTTATTTGATATGGAATTAGATTTTGAGTCGACTTGTGCTGATTTTAATGTAACGGTTTCATCTATGGATGAATTATTTTGGAAGGTATCCATTGCGGCATACTTCAATTTTGTTTATTTATTTTCGACGGTTTTTGTATTTTCTATGTTTTTTGTTTGTTTTTCATTAGTTACATTCCTTAGAGATCCCCTTAATTTTTTTTATTTGAATAAGTGATATCATACATAAGCATGCGTACGATAAATTGTTTTATGTTTAATTTGTCATTTGTTTCCTTCCAACCTTAATACAATTAGTTGTTTTTGTTTGACATTTATGACATATTTTGATTTTATTTTTGTATCTGAAAAAAATCGTAGCATATTATTATATGAGTGCATATTATGATTACTTTTTGTGCCCAATTTAAAATGAACTATATGTAAAGCAAGTTTTGCCTTTTTCAACTAAAATGAAAGTCATATAGAAGTAACGACAACTATCTCGTCGATACTGGTTTAACAAACATGAAATTTAATAGATGTTGTTTATTACAAAAGAAAATATCAAAGACATGAAATGCAGATTTAAGTTAAGATTGTTTTATCTTTGCAAGTTGATATTGTTATTTTCGAACACTAATTAATTTGTTATTGACTTTCTTTCAGCTTTCTGCAGATATATTCTACAATTGAAATAGCTCCATGTCAACGGAACACTGTACTGATGGACAACGACTCAACATTAAACGGTAATTTCTCCAGCAATGAACAGGACTTTGAAGAAACGCGACAATTTATTGCTTCACTTGAAAAATATGCAGTACCAATAATATGTTCTTTTGGATTGATTGCAAGTACGTTGTCTTTTACTGTGTTTGCTCAAAAATTCTTAAGAAGAAAATCATGCAGTATATTTTTAGCGGCTAGAAGTCTAAGCGACAATGGATTTCTAATCACTCTTTTAATTATGTGGACGTCTTCAGTGTTTGACTTAAATCTAAGTAGAATAGCTGGTATATGTCAAGTAATTGTTTTCTTCACTTACGTGTTTGGTTGTCTATCGGTATGGCTAGTTGTATTTGTAACAATAGAAAATTACATACGGATATGTAAACCTTTTATGGTCAATAGTTTGTGTCAAACAACGAAAGCTAAATATGCTGTGATAACGCTTGTAGTGTGTACATTATGTTGTTACAACTTTCCATTATGGACAATGACCGGAGAGTGTACACCAAAAGTTAAACACTACAAATTTCTTAGGATAATGGTTTATGTTGACAGTGTTATAACCCTTGTTGCTCCTTTAATTATCATGGCATTTCTCTTGTCTCGGATTGCTTTGTCTTCACTATCATCATGTGAGCGTCATAGACGTTTTAGTTCAACATCTGCACAGAGAATCAGTGACCTTAAGACAAAAGTTACAACAATGCTTCTGGCAGTCACGCTAATTTTTATCACATTAAACCTTCCCTTACATGTTGTGAAATTACGGCTTCTCGTGATATCATTCATTAAGGATCAAATAGATGTATCCACGCCAGTTGATTTAACCGTACAATCTATATCTCAACTGATTTATTATTTATCTTTGGCAATTAATTTTGTTGTGTACTATATTTTTGGAATGTCGTACAGAAGAACATTTATTGGTCTTTTCTCTGGAAGAAAAAAGAACGTATATTCTCAGACGGATTACAGTACTTTGGCGACTTCAAGAACTCGGAAAATTGGTCAGTCTGTCCAACCAGCACGGAAAACGGACAATCAAACTATAGTATAGTAAATGTACAAGTAAAAGAAGCTGAAACACGGATAGAATAAAGATTTAATTCTTATAGAGAGATAATCTATTTTACGTGCTGCTTCACTGATCACTTGTGTCTTTTTAATTATTTTTAAAATTAAATAATTCCCCAAAATACTTGTAATGATCTTAGTAAGGAAAAGGGTTAAAAACACTCAAAATGATATAAACAAAGTCACAGGTTGTCTTAACTTTATATTACAAGTACGCGTTAAACATTAAAAATTATTAAAATCATAAAATGTACAGTGTTCGTTTGATATTTTCAGTTTCATGCATGAACCATGAAGTTAGAATGAAATATTACCTTAACTTATACAGCTTACAAATATATTACTAAAACAATAATTCCCATTAATATTTAAATTTAAATTAATACTACCAGAATATATAAATTATGTAGTGTTAAACATCAAGATACTTCACGATGTTAAGTAGATTTAATGCGCATAAAATAATAAGCTTTATCGCACTGTACGTTTGTAACGTCGCTTTTCATTGGATAATAGAGATATTTTACATACTCGCGACTGCATTAAATTTTATAAACTTATGATCTTTCCTTCCGGACAGTTTAACCTTACAAATATCTTCAGCTAATATTTAAGTGTAACTAGATGTTGCCGATAGAAAGGAATAAAAACCAATTGCAAAATAATGTAAAACAAATCAATTGAAAAATATTATAACAGATCAATAAAGTCAGTGCACATATAGACGCCAATTTTTCATTATAGTGTGTTTTGTCTATGCTTTTAACCATTAGACATTCAACAGCTTATCTAAGAATGCTATTTTAATATGCTATATCTATTAACTGATTCTTTCTGGTAGTCTATACAAATATAATACTCGTGATCGGCCATCATACATTTAATACATCTAATGCAATCTTTCTAAACATATAACAAATATAACTTGATGACAATTTAATTAATAATTTTAAGCAATAATTCCAAATACATTTATCTTATATCATGTTCTATATAATACAGACGAAATCACAAACGCCGTCTTTTATTAGTTTAAGGGCATAAAATTGCTTATCGTTATGTGAGTTTTAAGGTGATAATGCTGCATTCCTATATTTTGAAACGAATTTTTAACTTTATTTAATATCTCTATCATTGATATATTCCTGGAAGAAAATATATCTAAGATTGTCATCTGTTATCAGCATATACATGTTCGATACTCTTTTATTTAATTCATCGATCAATTAATTTGGTCATCGCATAAATGTAGAATAAATATTTTAGTGTAAAGCTATTGGTAATCTGAAAAAAATAATGATATGATTATGATGTATAGTGATGGTGTAAATCATAACGTTAAATGTATAATATTTATTACTTACCCATGCTGATTTGCGACTCCGTAAAAATGGTATGGCATGGACGTGCTTAATTTTGGCATGACGTCACTCGCGATAAATGTTACTTTTACATAGGCGTTTCAATGCAAAATGTTTTTATTTTGCATTTTAAACAGTCTTTACTTTTGGGAATATATTAAATGGAATATATTTTTGTGTAGGTTAAATATTCAAATCGTTGAATAAATTAATATTTTCCTCGTCAGAGTCTCGCATTATATAATTTTATCTTGTTAAATAAATTTAGTATTGAACCTACACTAAATATACATATTCATATATGGTTTTCTGCACAGCAAACGGACAAAAATACATAAAATGAAAGGTTCCTGTCGCACAAATTATTCATTAATTTTTCTTCATTATCAAAAACTGTTGGTTTTTATAGACTTAATTTTATTTCGATTGTGTAAGGTCTCTAAGCTAATAGACACACCTTCGAATCTGTTCCTACAACCAACCAGTACCGAGCAATAATTATTATCATTATTATTATTATATACCACATTTCTATAGCACTCTTTTCATAAATAATAAATGTTCAAGAGTGCTTTACATAAATCCGATAAAACATAATCATATATATATATATAAGACATAATGTACAACATTAATTAAGTAAACCTATTAAACAATAATGATAATCTAAAACCAGTAAAGGATGGTAAGAAATACAGACACATTTAGTTTAAAATCAAGGCACAATTAAAATTGACACTGATAATATAGCAAAAGTAGTACATGTATGATGATTTATGAACTAACGTCCATAGAACTTTATGAAATAATGTGTTTTGAGAGCTCTCTTAAAACATGGCAAGGTATTACAGTCTCTAACGTCAGGTGGTAACGCGTTCCATAATTTCGCTGCGGCTGTCTGGAAGCACCTGTCACCATATCGTACTGTCCGAGATTTAGGCACAACTAATGTCATTGAGTTATTCTGGGACCTCAGATTTCTGACTGGGATGTACACGTCTATCATGTCTTTTATATAGGCTGGTGATTGATCGATGAGGGATTTATATGTATAAGTCAAAATTTTATGTTCGACCCGATACTCTACCGGAAGCCAGTGAAGTTCACGTAAGATAGGTGTTATGTGGTCATATTTGAGTGTTTTGGTCACAATTATAGCTGCTGTATTTTGAACATGTTGTAACTTGATCATTGACTGCTTAGAGACTCCATATAACAGTGCATTACAGTAGTCTAACCTAGAAGTAACAAGTGAATTTACTAGAGATTTGGTTGCTTTAACAGTAAGATAGGGTCTGATGTGACCGATTTGTCTTAATTGTGCATAACAGTTCCTACAGACATTATTTACATGTTGTTCCATCCTCATGTTCGAGTCAAGAAATGCACCAAGATTGCGCACACTAGATGATTGGCTAATTTTCGAACCGTCGACTGTTACTGTAACATCTGAAACAGGTTGTGCGTTATGTTCAGATGAGAAGATGATCAACTCTGTTTTATCGCCGTTTAGCTTCAGCATGTTGGCATTCATCCAACTTACAATATCTTCAAGACATCTTTCAATACGGTTTATATTCTCTTGAATTGAAATATTAGTCACTGGTTTGAAGGATAGATAGAGTTGTGAGTCATCTGCGAAGAAATGGTTGTTTAGATCATGTTTACGGCAGATTTCTCCGACAGGTTTCGTATACATCACATAGCTCTTGGGTCCCAGGACAGACCCTTGAGGTACACTGTACTCCATGTGGACTGGCTGTGATAGTTTGTTGTTTATGCATACAGTCTGGTATCGGTCGGTCAGGTATGACGTCATCCATGCGAGTGGCTTGCCTGTAATTCCAAAGTGTCGTTCAAGGCGGCGAAGGAGCGTTCCGTGATCAATTGTATCAAAAGCAGCAGACAAATCAAGCATCACGAGAATAGTCACATTGTTATTATCCAAAGACCGTAGAATGTCATTTGAACTTTTAACAATGCAGTCTCGGGCGAATGGAACTTGCGATAAGCAGATTGGTTGACCTCGTGTAGATTATTTGTCTTCAGATGGCTCTCAATATGATAAACAAGATCAACAAGGAAAGGCGGCGTTCAATGAACGCAACCCCCACTTGACCCAGCAACAAGAACCAATGGCAAGGAGCCCAGGGGGACCCCAAACAAAAACAGGACAGGGCAAAGACGGAGCACGGACAGGTTAATCATTAAATGATAATTAATTTGTAACTGATTAGGAATTCAAAGAAAATAAAAATAGGCCCACAAAGGGGAAGGGGACAAGTCGTACGTCAACGACCTTTTCCAAGATTTTAGACAGGAATGGCAAGTAAGACACAGGCCTATAGTTTTTCAGTTCGTTAGGATCTAGATTTGGTTTCTTTAGAAGTGGTCTTATTCGTGAGTGTTTGAACATTTTTGGTACATAAGCAGCATCCAAGGACACGTTTATAAAACTGGTTATCACTGGTGTTAGTTCATCTAGGCATTCTTTTAACAGCCATGTTGGAATGGGATCTAACTCACAGGATTTGGTGGCTGATTTTTTAATCAATGCATTCACTTCTTAATTGTTCTCAATAAGTGTAAAGATTCTTGCTTAAGTAAACAAGACGGGGTTTGAACCCATGCGACTAGCGATTATTAGATACTAATCAAACGTGCTAACCACTCGGCCATGTCGCCACTTTCGGTCATAAATTGTTGATGAGTATCCATGCCTAAAACAGTTTTCCTAATTAATTAGGTGATGTGCAAGATATCTTCTCAAAAAGATCTACAGTCGAATGATTAGATTTAAAATGTTGTTTTCAAGTTACTTATGTTTGTTTTGCAATATAAAAGTAATTCTATATTTCACATTGAAATAAAAAAGAAGTTGACAGAATCAATAACCTGATAAAACCTTATCGATGTCCTCAATTAATATAGTTCATATCACGCAATCAAATAATACTGGTGAAAGACTATACAAACATAATAATTAATCAAGCGGGCAAAGAAACTGGGGCATGGATGAATAGATGAATAAGAAGTGCATCGTAACACTTATATCGCGCGCCACGCACTGAAGGCTATATATGCTCAGGAACACATAATTTTTAATTAGGATCATATACATGTTTAAGTTAAAAATATAGAATTGAAATTGCTATCAAAGTATTCCATTGCTATGGAAAGTCAGTGGTCCCTATAGATTTAATTTGTTGCCTAAAGAAAACAATAATTGCTATGGAAAGTCAATGGTAGCCATGAAAATAAAAAAAACACGGAACGCTGAAAGAAAAAATAACTTAACAATAGTATATTGTATATGCTGCGATGCTTGAGGAAACTATAAACAATAAAATCAACGCAATAATCTAATTAAAACAAAATTAAACTTGCACATTTGCATTCTTTAGTTGGTTTTTTAAATTTCCAATAGGTGTAATAGGACCGATTATCAGTTAAGAATGCAATATGTAAATTTCAATCCTTGGTGTAGACAAAAAACGTGATGTCAATTTTCATAAATAAATGTTTACTTCTTTAGCCAGGTCACATTTCAAATCATTTTTGATAGTACAAATCAATCGTCTGCCTTAGAGAACAACATGACTACTATGCATTATGTACTGATTTATTTTTGCAAAAATATGAATAAGTTAAACTGGAAAGATTCAGGAAGAATATTCTACCAAAAAAGTAATACATTTAGCACTTTAAGTGAATAGAAAGCTAAGAATATTTTTACCTTTTAATAACAATTTTTGTCCTAGGCAATTGTAAATTTATATTATTGTTATTTGCTACTGATCATAAAATACTCCATATATGAGTCCGTAAAATGCGCACTTGGTCATGCTGCTGAGCAAAAAAGTTATACATGATTGTATAGATATGTAGTTTTAACTACTAATTTCAAAC